CCGGCGGGGAGCAGGACTGACCCAGGTGCACGCAGATCCTGGGGTGCTGTCCGTCCCGTGCACGGTCTTGGCGAAGCACGAGCGAGTCCGGCCCCAAGGATTCCCTCCCGCCCCGGCCCCACCTTCGCATAGTTGCGTACTGCCTGGCTGGTAGAGCCACTCACACAGCGTGAGCATGTCTACCAGCCAGGCAGTTCGCAACTACGTACTGATACTCCTAATAATAAAACTTACCTAATTACAAAATACCGGACATTTTATATGCCTGGTATTTTCTCAGTTTGTTTCCCGGTCTCAAATACCAGACTGTCTGGTTCAAAATGGACCCTAACGATGTAAGAATATTATTTCCATTACAGCAAGGAACATTTTGGACCCTGAAAAATGCATATTTTGTCTGTGGGGAAAAAAAACAATGTAAAGCCCCCCCACCTACACATTGCTGGAGTTCATTCTGAATAGGAGAGCTTCAGGGCCTGCTCTCACATCAGCTGAACACATGCAGCTAGTGGACAGCCCCCTGGACTGACTGAGTCCTACAAGCGAGAGTCGTACAAGTACAATATCGGACAGAACCCCTATGCAAAGGTGACAGGCCTAGAAATGTGATCCTGAGTAAATTTGGGAGGAGCATGAAGGCCTGGGGCATGGTGAGGCCCCTGTGGTATCACAGGCTGACAAGAGGCCTAGCTGCAAATCAGGTCTCTCTCTCACAGCTCCTCGGGGCGGGCACTCAGATTGTCAGCCCCACTGATTCCAATGGGGAAGCACCGGTTTACACCATGTGGCCTTGAGTTTTACTGACCCCCAAAGCTACCATTCTTAAAAGCTTAAATAAAGAGAGTCTCCTACCAGTCCTCTAGTCAAACATGCCTTGCAGTGGGGCTGCCGTTTGGAGCGCGCGGCATAGAGCTTGTGCTCCCAGACTCTGGAAGATACATTCATTATTGTGTCCTTTCCTGCAGCTCTCCTCTCCCCCCTGCTCCAGGCCTGCAGGGGAAAGTCCCAGGTCCATGCTGCAGGGGATTGATAGCTAAATAAAATGCCCACTGAGCAAACCACAGGAGCAATGTCCCAGGGGGCTGGAGGAACAAACCCAGGGCTAGGAGCTGAAACTGGCTCGGCAGGTAGCCTTGATCACGTTGTTTCATCTGGCCGCCTGCAGCTCTCCTCTCCCCCCTGCTCCAGGCCTGCAGGGGAAAGTCCCAGGTCCATGCTGCAGGGGATTGATAGCTAAATAAAATGCCCACTGAGCAAACCACAGGAGCAATGTCCCAGGGGGCTGGAGGAACAAACCCAGGGCTAGGAGCTGAAACTGGCTCGGCAGGTAGCCTTGATCACGTTGTTTCATCTGGCCGTGCCTCACTTTCCCCTGTGCAGGAGGGGGATTGGAATGTGCAGCCACCTGCCCGGGCCATGGGGGAGACCAACAAGTGTCTGTA